TCTTTGATAATAGCTTCTCGCTCTTAACGATGGCTGGAATGAGTTGTGTGTTGTAGCTCTTCTTTGGCGCCTTTTCGCATTGAAAGTTGGCGAAAATGAGTCGCCGGCAGTGGGCTCGTCGAAAATTTACTTGCTTGCACAGACGGAAAGAGTGTGGTTCGTGTAGATTTGCGTGTGGGGGAGGGTGGGCGGGCGTGGTAGTGGCGGTGTGATGGAGTCATTGTTGTGTGGGTTGATGTGGGTCCTGATGGATTTTGTGTTGAGCGTGTTGGTGTAGGTGTGAGTGTGCGTTGGTGTGGATGTCAGTATGTGATGTGACTTTGGCTGTAGATTTGAGTGTTGGCTTCGTTCGTCCCTGCTTCGACACGGACACCGACACTCACATGGAGGGTTGGGGTATGGGTGTGGTTTGTGTGAATGTAAATATTTGGGTGCCGGAGTGAGTGTGGGTGTGGATGTGTGTGTGGATGTGGGATGGGTATGCGTGTGGGTGAGGGTGCGGATAGGTGTTTGATGTAGGGCTGTACAGCTCACGCTCACGCTCATGAGCGTGAGTGAAAAAGCACTCACGTGAGCGTGAGCGTTTTCTGACTCAAAGAAAGTACGAGTGCCTCTGGTCACTTTTTTCAACTTTATTCCTCGAAAATCCATATTCACCATTTTTGTGCCTGGGGTCTCCCTCAGGTATCATGAAAAAAAAAATTTTTTTTTCATTGGTCACAATCAGATGTAGTGATAGATTGAGAAGTGCTGGTTAAGATAACCATAATGAGAGATCTCAAAACCTCTTTATTTCTGGAATAGTCCTAACCACTGTATGCGCTGTATTCTTCATTATTGGGGTCCTTATACAATATTTATTCACTCAAATTCAGCTGGAAACATCATTTTAACCCAAAAATTTAAGTTCTCTACGGCTCTGAGCTTGTTAAGTCGAAAAAAGCGTCACTTTCGGAAAAAAACGGTCATTTAGGCGCAGGAATTGGCCTTTTTTAAATACAAAAAATTTTCTACCAATAACTTTTTGAGAAGCCACTCTTACTGTAACACGAAACTTGTACCACAAGAGTAATTTTTCAAGCTCTCATGGTTGGTAATCACAAAAGTAATTGAAAAATGTGTTGAACATAGTGAAAAACTCTAAATTCTGGTAAAATTCGCCTTTTCCGACTAGATTTGGCCATAAATATTTGATGTTTAGCACGAAAACAGCCTTTCTTGGACGTCAAACTCGAAGTATACATCTCGCTTTTCAAGTTCTATCAATCTGCAGTCGCAAAAAGCTGAAAACGGAAAAAAAAGAGATAGAAAAGTCCAAAAGCTGGGAAATTTAGCACCTTTTCAAAATATCCATGAATATTTCTGCAATCGGGTTTTCTGAAAGAAAAGCTGGCTTTTTCGGCGAACTTTTTGTGACTCGATTGACTGATGACATCGGTGGTAAATAGATGAGATCAAAGATGCGAAGAAAAGTAATTGGGATCGGAAAACATTGCCATGTTCGATATAAATTCTAATATAACTGAATGGCAAATTCCTGTAGGAGAGTATGCAGAAAGAAAAGCATAAATTGAACTGTTTTATAATAGATTTGGAATAGAAAGAGTGTTTTACAAGGGGGAAACGGCGGACTTTTGGACTTGAAGTTACTTTGAGCTACTTTAAGCTACTTCAAGTTACTTTCAGCTACTTGAAGTAGCTTACTTTGAAGTATTTTTCAACTTCAAATTTACCTGAAGTTACTTGAAGTTACTTTAAGCTACTTGTTCCTACTTTGGGCTACTTGGGTGGTACTTTGAGCTACTTCAAGTAGTCTACTTTGACGTACTTTGACGTACTTTTCTACTTCAAGTCCGCCATTTCCCCCTTGGTGTTTTATCTACTGAATAAATTTTACGATTGTGAGAATTCATTTTATCTGTTGTCTAATTATCATAAAAAGGAGAAGAACAAAAGATCAGATCGCAAATGTCGAAGACAAGCGTGGAAATAACGTAGTGCTTCTCTTTCAATTGATTTAAATCAGCTTCGTTGTTTGGTTTTGCCGCTAACCTCAGTGAGAAAAAGATTGTTTCACTTAAAATAAATCTGTAATATTTCCATCAAAATCCAAAAGACCTGGCTATCAATGTTTTTATATAGATATTCAAAGTTAAAGCCCTGCAGGTTAAAGGTTCTTGTAATCTTTAACCTGTTCAACGCTGCCCTTATTCCGAAGAAGTTTTTATCACATATTTAAACGCACAGGTTTTTTCAAAAAGTTGAGTCGTCTGCTATCGCTGTCGGCAAAGACTAACAGGAAGTAAATGAAATCCAATAAAAGTTTTCGATGCATATCTAGTTTGAAGTAGATTAATTTATAATTTCAATTATCTATTTTAGATTATAGTTGACAGCGAGTTTCAATGAGAGACCGGTTAACATACTATTTTGTTGTGTATTGATTTATTGATGTTTTGATCATGATACACACATACGTTATCAACCACACAACTTATTTTTTCAAATATTTTAATAAGTGTACATTACATTTGATGTTCCTTTTCAGCCCAAAAAAGCCAACATTTAAAAAAACTAACAGGACATTTTTCCAACCATAATATGAGATACTAAGCAGTGAAGATTGTATTGTTTCATAATTCAAATATAAATCGGAGTGATGTCATAATATCCGAAGGTTCGATATCGAGATTTTCAAAGAACAGCGTATCTTAAAACAGTGAGGATTTTGAGTGAATTTGGTGTAACGAGATGAATACCCAAATGGATACGCTATCTCTGAAAGATTCGATGCATTGTATTGTTTTCCAGGAAACTGATTTTTCTGCAAGGACATGTGTAAGAGTTTTCCGACAGGCATCAAGGACATAATGGCCGTAATGGATGATCTAGTGGGATGCTCTGTGAGTCTTTGTCGCTGAGACTTCCTTTATCGACCCACACCTGGTGCGATGTTGTGTGAGTCTTTCTCTGTGTGGGTTGTGGATGCCTGTGGGCGTGAGTCTACTTCCTACCCAAACCCGACATCCACACTCTCACACAGCCACACAGCCACACATCCACATCAACACTCAAAATCCTCAACTGTGAGAGATATGGCATCCATTTTTTTTGGGTATCCATCTCGTTGCACCTAATGCACTCAAAATCCTCAACTTTGAGAGATAGGGTATCCACTCTGATGGATATCGTCACTAATACCTTATCGATGCCCAGCCTTCAGATAGTATGGCATCTCTGATAAATCGAGGAAATAAAGGCACTGAATTCAGAACCGTCATTAGAGTTGAAGAATGGCTCTAGTTGTTGTCTTGCTGATATAACGCAAGAGAGAAAGACCAAGAAACTTCTTTCGTTTCTGCAACAATGATCGACAGAAAAAAAACTGCATGAAAGCTTGTTATAAGCTCGCTATTCTGACACCTACTAGTTTTACAAGAAAAGTCACATCACTTTGATCAGAGGCAGTAAGATGAGTTACAACATCATTTTTATATAAGATCCGAAGATCAAACTTTTAAATATTATAGGAAATGGTCTTGATTCTGACGGATAACTAAGAAAGTTTAATTATCGTCACCATATTTTTATGATAAACTTAGCTATAGATCGAAGTAACATTTAGAGCCTTTCAATGCGAATGTGTTAATATTGGAAGCGTTCACGGATATTTTATTGAATTCTCAGATTAAGAAAATGAAAGCTTTTCAATAACAAAAAAAGAGAGGAAAAATATCGGACACATGCTAGTTTTTTGTGTTCACAGGAGTTATCCGAACGAGAAATACAATATCATTATACTCCGCACTAGAAATGTATGTAAACGATGTAAATCCAGCTACAAATCGCTGCTCCTACTCTTTGAAATCTACTAAGTATGCTGGTAACAACACTTCCATCGCAGTTAATAGATTATGACCTCTGAGACGTGTATTCTATCCCGTGAAAAGCCTTTTAACATGGTCCCGCCTTACCAGGCAGGACCGGGTGAGGGTGTGGGTGTGGGTGTGGGTGTGGGTGTGGGTGTGGGTGTGTTAGCAGAGAAGACTTTAAAGAAAGTCAAATCAAATAGCTAGCAAGACCGGTTTCGACAAGTGCTGAAAGTACTTATCAATTGCTTTATGATTTTGAATAATATTTTTCTCCTATTGCAATTGAAACAGTTAGAAGTTAAAATAAACTTCCAAGGATAGTTAACAATTACATAAATATATATCATTGATTAAATGCAAAGCAAATAACCAACAATTTCAAAGAGATTCTCCCATAGTTGGGTGTGTTAGCAGAGAAGACTTTAAAGAAAGTCAAATCAAATAGCTAGCAAGACCGGTTTCGACAAGTGCTGAAAGTACTTATCAATTGCTTTATGATTTTAGTGAAAGTTTTTTGTGCTACTGCGGGTACTGGCGTTAGAAAGCTTGTAGGAATGTGTTCTGATTTAATATGAGTATGAATTAAATATATATTATCGGAGATGTTCTATAGTAATTAAGAAATCAATGAATTTGTGAAAGGATCCTGCAACAGTAGTGTGCTTTGTTATTAATTCTGAAAGAGTTTGATATTTAGTATTGAGAGTATTGAAGATTACTGCTGAGGATGAAAACATCACTCCTCGTAGTGATTTATATGTGTATTGTTTTTAAAAGTTTTTATATCTTGCGGTTTGGATTTCGTTATGCTTAAATGGAAGTAGTTTTTTATATTGTGTTAGCATTTGTATGGACTTACGGAAGTGTTTTTTTGTTGTTGCTTATGTTGGGTCGAGCGTTATGGCTGTAGAAGGTAGAATTGTACTGTGTTGTTTTTGGGTTGATTTCATTTGGTTTTGATAATTGATTTGTTTCTTTTCTAATCTGAAATGATATTTGAATATATGTTATGTTAAGGAATAGTTTTTTTGTTTTTATTTGTCTAAATTTTTATTATGGTTTTATTTGATATGAATAGTTACATCTATGTACAGTTGAAAAGAAATTTTTGTATCCTGTGATATTGTTTTATGGTTGTCGTAGTTGTAATTGGATGAATTGAAGTTGTTCGAAGAGATCGTTTTGGTTTAATAGGTGTATGTTGCGTTCCTTTTTTTCGTTTTCAGTAATTTGTTTGGCTGTTTCGATGTGTTGTATTTGATCGATTTCATCTTGTGTTATCATTAATATATCTTGTGTAGCTAATCGTTCAATGTCTTTGATGTGTTCTTGTTCCCATTTTGTTGTTTCATCCATTTGTTCCCATTCATAACCTTCGAGTAGTTCATCGTGCATATCTTCAATGCTGAGATGGTCGTCGCTATCGTAGTCGACGTACCGATCTCTATAGTATGTTTGTCTTGTTTGAAATTGTCGGTCCAGGCTTCGTTGGTTTAATCTTTCTTGCCATTGTCGATAACGTCGGTAGCGTCTTGGTTCTGTTCGTTGACGCGGTTGTTGTGGATGTTGTTGTCGTTGGGCCTGATTTAATTGTTGACGACGTCTTGGTTGAAATTGTTGAAACGGCCTAAATTGTACTGGTTGATTGAGTAGTGGGTGCCATGGTGAAGCCAAAAGTTGTTGGGAAGTTTGTTGCTGGTGATGTTGTTGTGGTCTTGCTCTTCTTGCTGCAGTTTGATTTCGTTCAGGATTATGTATGAAATTATTTTCAGTTGTAATAGTATTTGTTGTGCTCAATTCTATAGTTGATTGATTTGTTGTGACGAAATCATTCGATAATAATTGATCAATAGTAGAATCGATGTTTTGATTTTGATCAGATGCTTGTAATGGTAAATTATCATATTGCTTATGGTTTGTTGTGTTTGTCCTGAAATATAAATAATAACAGAGGTGTAGTTTGGACAGGTTTATTTTATTTTTCTGTATGTATATATATATGAGTTGCTTACAATGAGTGCTCGTATGCACCTGGTGTGTTGTTGAAATTGTCTTTCGTAGACATAGCTATGTGTTTCTAATATATATATCTAGAAAAAAATGACACAATGTAATATATCTATTTTGACACAAATATATTTTCAAAGGAAGAAAAGAAAAAGGGAAAAATAAACAAGGTTGAACTACAAGAAGATGTGAATTCATAGTGTAATAGTTAAATTTCACAGGGATAAATATGCAAAATGAAACAAATATTCAGAGTCTAAGTATTGTACATATAGAAAAACGAAAAGAAACATGAAGAAGCACAATATTTATCATATAATTAAATCTTTTGCAAGTACAATATTTACATTTTATGGGAAAATGTAATTCAGACAGAAGAGAACAAACAAAATAGCAACACTTTGTATAATGTGTATCAACAAAAGAACGATACTTAGTCATGAGGAAGTTTTTCGTTGATTGTTCTTCGTGCTGTTTCTATACTTGGTTGCATTATGGTCAACATATCACGTTTTGGTTTTTTATGAATCAAAAGACTTTGTAATGTACGATTCAATATTGTGCCGAGAATAAGTCGTGTATTTCTGAGACGTGATCCCGGATAAACATAGAATTTTTGCCATATTTGACGATATTCTTTTTTGAAATCTAATAATGGTCCATTTTCAAATGTGTAATGTAGATAAATTTGATCTTTATGTTCATAATTATTCCTGTTTAGAATTAAGGCACCATTTGTTTGGACTTTGGATTTAAGTTCTCTTCGTGTTGGTTTGTAAAGTAAGGTATTATGTAGCTGTTGATATGCTTCACTATTGAGTTCAGTCCACACATTCATGGCATTATGTTGAATAAAGAAATTTTTCATGTGTTGTTGTATAAATTTTGGTGGGTAACCATTAACTAATAAAATCATTTCTGTACTTAATCGTTCCATATCAAAATTTTCCACACTTGAACAAAGACGTGCTGCCCTGACTAACATCGTATAAATTATATTTGCATGCATATGTCGTGGATGATCAGATTCATAAGATAGAATATGAGGTTCCCAAGCTGATTTATGATAAATAGTTGTTTTTAATTGTCCATTATTATTTTCAATACTAGCATCAAGATATTCTAATGCTTGATTAATCGTAATAGTAATTTTAATGTTAGGATCTGTTTTCATTGTTTCATGAAGTTGTTGTAAAATTTCTTCTTTTGATAAATTCGTAGTCATAAATACATCGTCAATATATCTAGAAAAAAATATTAATAAAGTATCAATATAAAAGAATAGAGAAATAATTATTTGACACTTACCGGCCATACATTTCATGCTGTCTATTTTGATGTTGAATTAATTTTTGTTCCCATTCTAACATATAAATATTGGCGAGAACCATAGTAAATGGTGAACCCATAGCACCACCTTTTATTTGCCGATAATATTTATCTTTGTAAGCAAATGAATTTGTATCTAAAATTATACGTGCTAATCGAATAATAGTATCGATATTAAGATTTGCAATTTTGCGATTTATTGAATATTTCTCACAAAATCGAGTTAAAGCAGCAATAGCACCATCACGTGGTATCATTGTATATAAATCAGTCACATCAAATATAACAAATAATGTTGTTGAAGTCAAATAACCTTGCTGTTGATATTCATTTAATTTTCGAATCAAGTCGATACTATTAATAAATGTAATATCTTTTGTTACATAATTATAAATTGGAGTAAGAAGTTGATCAAGAAAACTTGATATGTTTCTAGCTGGTGCATTGATTGAAGCCAGAATAGGTCGAACTGACATTTCAGGCTATAGGATACATATAATAGAATAATTATCGAGACAAGAAACAAGTCATCTTACCTTATGTACTTTAAGATTGAAATAAATATGAGCTAATTCTAATGTTTTTAAATTTGGATACATTTGTTTATATTGTTCTTTGGTAATTCTATTATGTTTCTGTAAATAATCGAGTAATGTTAATACAGAATGTAAATCATCAGCTAATGGACAAATACCACTTATAGTTTCTTGATAAGCATTTGTTTTGGACATATAATTTCTAATTTTTTCTTCGTATTCTTGTGCATCAATAAAGAAAAATAATTTACTTTTATCCGTTTGTCCAACAGCAATATTAGCTTTGCGTAATTTTCCTTTCATTGATTTTATCATTTTATAAATATATCGAGCCTTGACTTTGAGTTTTTTCGGTAGTGGCTTAGTATATAGTTCTTCAAGTAAATGTTTAACTTCAGAAAAAAATTCAGTTGCACGTGCATCTTTTGTGGAAAACGTATATTTAATAAGATTTTTACAATTTTTATCATAGAGCCGCTTGTATTCTTGTTCAATAATTTCTTCCATAGGTTCCTTGTAAAAGAATCTACTTTGGCATGGTGGAATAAATTTTAAACCTTTATTAATAATAAGTAATTGTTCATTGGATAATGGTATAATTGTATTGGCAAAAAATAATGAAAGAAGCATACTTGTATTATTAAGAACATTTAATTTTGATTTGCTCCGACGCCATCGGTGTCCATTGTATCGTCTTGTGACGCCGGAGCTTCGTCGAAAAAAGATTTCATTTTTTGTTGTGTAATATAATCAGCACGTTCTATCATATGTTTTTCACGTGCTTCAATAGCTGCCATTAATTGTGTAAACAGATCTGAATCCGAATTATTTTTCTTGAATTTATTTGTAATCATTAATAGTTTCTTTTTTTCTTTTTTAGCTATCTTATCATAATATCGTACTTTGTCTTCACCAGCTGCTATACTTAATTCAAGCATATCATATTTAAATCGACCAATTTTTTTTAAACGACGTGCATTTAATATTGTTTGTTGTTTATTATCATTATCATTCGTAGAAGATGGTTTTGAGCGAGTAAGTATTTTATCAATTTTATCAAGAGTATAATCAAGAATATTA